CTCTTCTACTCTTTCATTATCTTGCTCTTCATTTCCTTCCTCATGTAATGGCTGACCTCCAGTCTCTCCCTCTTCCTCTACTCCCTCATTACTAGTAGACTCTCCTATAGTGAAATAGATTCAGTTCATTATACACTAGTACACACTGACTGACTCAATACTCACCTTGTCCTCCACTGCTACCTCCTGGTGGATCTTTAGTCTTATCAGAATCACTGGATGAATCACTATTACCATCTTCCACTTCCTCTTCAGTTTCCTCTTCTGATTGTTCCTCTTGCTCCTCCTCCTCTTCCTCTGACTCGTCTCCATTAGTTGATGATTTGGGTAGACGTTTCTCTCCAACAATAGCTACCAAACAGAACTCTTTACGTTGAATGGATCCATACCAGCTATCAGCTTTAAACTCTCCTCCCTCAACTAATAAGAAGTGGTAAGGAAGACTGGGTGTGCTCACGGGAGCTATGGCAAACTTCAAAAATTGTGTAAGACCTGGTCGTCCCCTCAGATCAATGCAGTGCTCAATTTCTAGTCGCAATGGTTTGAGGAGAGGCTTGGATACTGAAACAGCATAAACAGCACTCACTAGTACTGTATTCTTTGGAAACACAAACTCTCCTCCTACAAGAGCGACCACTGCTACCTCAACTGTATTGGTGGGTAATAAGGTATCTTCTTGTACTCCAATCCTTAGACCATATTTCTCCCAATTAATTAGTTGAGGTTTCTCTCCTTGAACTAGAAACAGCTTCTTCTCTGCTACCTGTACATCACTCAGACAGTCTAAATTATCTATCAGTAGTAATAAGACACAGTCAGTCAGTCAATAATACTCTTACCCATTGAAGGGATCAGGTAATTAAATTGTAGTCCAATGGAACTAGTCTCTTTGATAGGTTGCTTGAGGACCCTCTCTTGTCTTTCCTTCACTAGTTTGGCTATGTACAACTCCTTTTCTTTAAGGTCTATAAATTAATAGAATATTAATAATTATTATTGATTGATGATGATACACTAACCAGTAATGATCTGTTTCTCATTCAATGTCAGTTTGGCTATAACTTTGTCTTTCTCAGAAATGAGATTTTGATTGTCGTCTACGCAATAAACATATTCTCTCGTCTATTACATGCTGTGTGTATAGTTAACTAACCAATAATGATCTGTTTCTCCTTGAGATATTGTTCCTCCAAATAAGCTACTTTGAGTTTAAGTTTCTCATAATCTTCTACATTAATAGAATATTCTCTCATCTAATATTATGTACTGATGATACACTAACCAGTAATAATCTGTTTCTTCTCCTCTACTTGTTTCTTCTCTTCCAATATTTCAGCAACTTTAGCTTTAAGCTTCTCATTATAATCTATTATTAATAAACAGTAAATAATAGAAAATAAAATGATACTTGTTGCTTATAAAAATTTGCACTGCATGTACAGTAGCCCATAAATACATGTACTATGGTTATTCCTAATGATACCATATATGGTAAGCAGAGCTCACTCTACATCAATCTCATTATTTCTAACGGATGGACAATTTGACCTATATACTGAGTACAGGATACTATTTCCATACTCAACATTCTCTAATCCACTAGTATTATAATGTAAACAATGTACACATAAACAACAGTACAACACAATAGTACCTAATTCAACTGTTGATTTATCTTTCTCTGCTTGCTCAAGGAGAGTGGTAGCATTATCAAGTTGCTGACTAAGTGTTGCCTTTTCTTGAAGAAGCTGTTGCTGCTCTTTGTCTTGATCTTGCTGTATCTGATCCTTCTCTTTTATTTCTCTTTGAAGCTGTTCTTGATAGAATTCAATTTCACTTTCTAATTGCAAACGATGTTGAATTTGAAGTAGCTTTTCTGTTCCTAAATTCTCCCAATCACTCAGTATCCTTCTTCTTAGTTGATCTTGATACTGGTCCAGAGGTATTACACTAGTAGACCAATCATTATTACTAGTATATCCTACACAGTAACAAAATAGTGGAGAATAAGAAATACACAAATTAATTACACTTAGTTACTATGGTAACCTTATTATTGATGGATTCATGTTTAAGCATTGCATGTGTGACCTCTTTCAGTTTACACAGTTAACCACACGAACATATTATTGTATATAAACACACTGCAATATTTCATTCACTCTATAATTTTTTAATAGCTCCTATTAATATCAGTGTTTCTGTATCTGCAGTCATTATATTCACTATTGTACATAGCAGGAATGAATTGGTAATAATTAGTATTATAGGTATACGTCAAAATTAATGCTCTAATTAAATATTCATCATAAGAATTACATACTTTATTGTAATATTATCATTACTAATTATCATTACATATTTAACACACATTGTATCTACGACTGTTTACATGTACTTACTGAGTTCAATAACTGTTGTATCATTTACTGTTGTGATTAAATCGTCTCTCGCTCCTCCAAACTCAATTATCCAGTTAGTAGTTGGGGTCACACTCCACACTGAGAGAGAATGATAGCATCTCTTAGTGACATTGACTGGTAGGTTAGTCTATAAAATTAAAATCATAATTATTAATTTGTGTATGACATATTAATTGATTTGATATCTGGTTAATAAACACAATAACTAACTCACAGTTTTATAGTCTGCACAGTGTGTTTAATGTGACACAAAGATGACATAATAAAATTAATAATACACAATATATTAATAGACAAGTATACACAACTGAGTGTCTTATTATATCATGTGAGTCCTCAATTAAGAACTTACTAAGTGTCTGCATGTACACACATACACATACACATACTAATGACACACTAACACACATACATGTACATCTATACATGCATACACATATAAAGCTACATGTAAAGCATGCATAATTGCTCACACACATACACACACATGTACATGTTACATGTACACATGATATACGTGTTAGTACACACATACACATATTAAAACATATGCACACATACACACAAATACATGTATGTACATACACAATGTACACAATGCATATAAAATAGAAGTTATTTTAATTCCAGCATTGACACTGTATCAATTGTGAATCCATCTTTACACACACACAGACACATGTATATTCACACATATTTAGGTAAAGAAACAAAAACAAAACACAAAAGACACAAACACACATTCACACTAAAAACAGACACACACACACATATACTGAATACCAACATTATTCATCAGTATTTTTTACTGAGTATCATAATATGTACATGTACATTACAAACCTCATGAGTTACAAATTTAGTTAATCACTTATGTTTCATTATCAAGCATCATAATATAATACTTACCAGTTCTTTCCATTTTCTTTTGTTAATGTCCAGTAACCATACGTCATAGGCAGGTGATCCACCCACCACTAGTAAGTGTGATCCTGAACTAGTGGTAATCAGTACACTGGAATGACCCCATCTTCCTTCAGGCCGTTGTACTGATCTTCCAGGATTAGGTACTTCTAATATATCCTGAGAAAGTAATGAATTGAAATTTAATTGTAAATCCACAAATCACAGTCAAAACACATCCTACAGTATTAACTTACCACTGATGTCTTAGTGAAACTTATCATATACAGTTTATTACTGACTCCATTATCAGTATTGCCTCCAAATATTACCGCAGTGTTATTAGTAACTGGTGTTAGAGTGAAGGAACTAATAGGAGGTGGCCTGTCTCCAGTAACAACAGGAGATATCCATTGATCTAATAATAATGTACAAACATTCATGTACACTTACTTGCCACATACACACACATACATTATACACATTCATCATACATATGTATGTGTATATGTGTGTACATTATTATTTATACATACACATCATGCATAAACACACATCAGGGGCGTATCCAGCAGGGGCTGAGGGGGGCTTGAGCACCCCCCTCATGGCTGGGCTCAGAAAAAAAGTACTCCAATCCAGGACTTTTGCATCACTACCAAGCCTCTTAACAAAGTTATCTAGCCCCCTGATCATGATTTCAGTAGTTTCCAGTGCTTTAAGGAGCGATCAGAAGTACCAGTATGCTTGAAATTATTTTGACCCCACCTGTAATTCACGAAAATGAAGGAAAATGCCGTTTAACCGCCGCAAAAGGGGTGTGGCCAAAATCACGGCACGCTTTGCACGCCCTCAACTCTTCCCTTTCCTACTTTCTAGATACACCCCTGCACATCACCATCACATGATGCACACACACACACACACAGATACACTTGTGTATGGATACACACACCATCACACACACCACACCTGTACACATGAAGGAGAGGTCCAGGGGGTCTCCTTATTTGAAGATTACTAATCTATTCTGGCACATGTCAGGTATGATTGTTAATGAATAATTATACCAAACTGATGGAACATTGTATGTGGGTAATTTGTGACTCATGTGATACAGAACTTTATTAAAAATGATAAGAAATAAAATGAACCTACACACACACACTCATGTCACATTAGCTTATGTATAGATACATGTACATATACAAACATCACACACACACAGATACATGATAATACTCAAACACACATAACTTGCACATTATAGATACACGTCACATACACACGTCATACATTCATAAATTCTCACATACATTACATGCACTATCATACACAGACACATCATATAAATGACATGCCTGATGCTGTCTCCCTCTCCTCTATTCTACTCTTTGCAGATGACACCAAATGTCTCAGATCTGTCCCTCATAAGTGGCCACTTTTCTACAGAGCTCCAGGGGGATCTTGATTTGTTGTGCTTCTGGAGCTCAAACATGCATCCACAACTTTATCCTCAGCTTCTTCGTACCATGTAAATGGTACAAGCATATTAGCAGTGAATACCAATAGAGACCTAGATGTCATCATGTCATCTGATCTCTCTTTCTCAGAGCATATCAATTGTGTTGTCTCCAAGGCCTATCAAATGTTAGCTCTGCTAAGACATCCTCAACTTCTATATCTGCCAAAAAGCAACTTTATTTGACACACATCCGTCCAATACTACTCTACTGCTCTGTAATCTGGATGCCTTACCTCATCAAAGACATTGTGGTCCTTGAGAGGGTACAAAGAAGGGCGACCAAGTTCATCCTCAATAATTTCACCAGTGACTACAAGACCAGACTAAGGTCCCTAAATCTCCCCCTCTGACGATGACTTTTAAGACCTGTTATTTTTCATCAAAGCCATAAAATGACCTGACCCTTCCTTCAATATACTAGACTATGTCTCCTCGACCAATACTACACATTCTGGTGCTGGTCTCAAGCTCAGAAACTCTGTTTCCTCCACAAACCTAGACCGTCACTTCTATTACAACCGCCTCCCTCGTTTGTGGAATTCACTACCTGTCATCCAAGACTCATTGTCTCCAAATGGAGTACTGGTAATCATAAAGAATCACTTCTGGTCTACATTTGAATCTGTTTTTAACCCTAATCACGCATGCACCTTTCACTCACTCTGTCTATGTAATTTATGTATGTTAAACCCTTCTTCTCCAAACTTTTCTTAAATAAAACTAGTGTAGTCTGTCTAAACTTGTGTGTGTATTTGTTTGTAAAGGCTGTTTTGACATGTTCGACTCAGACCTCCAGTGCAACCATTATCTGATCTATTCTTCTGAAATTTTTAACCCTTGATTTGTATCACTGGGAAGTTGTTATTATTGTTATTATTCTTAATATTATTATTATAATGTATGCATTAGTACACACACACACGTCACATATAGACACACGTCACCATCACACACAAACACATGACACACAGAGACACACTAACAAACACACTTAATTATTAACAATCTGTTTTATGTACAATAATATAAATTATTCAGTTTGAAATACTGATCAACTATTGTGTATCGATGATGATAATTACTGACCTGATGAAATCCTGTAATAATGTATCTCATTACAACTACCAGTAGCTGAATACTGAGCATCAGGTTGCTTTCGAGGATTGATAGAAGGTGATCTAAAGCCTCCAATTATTATAAGATAGTCTTCACCATCAAAATGAGCTGATATCATTCCACTGTAGGCCTTTTTCATTGGATCATGATCAGAACTAGAAGGAGAGAGTTCCCTCCACTTGAATGAATCCACATTGAAACAATGTAAGTTGTTTCCATAACTACCACCACGTCCACCGAAATAATATATGTCCTTCCCTATTGCAACGGTTGAATAGGCCCAGGTACCTGGTGGTGGGGTACCAGAAGTAGGTTTCTGGTCCCAAGCACCAGTTGGTAAGTGATACACCTCCATC